GATTTGGAAATTCGGCAGGAAGTATCTTTAATCGAGCACGTATATTTGATTAGGAGCGAGGCGAGTCGCTGCAAAAAGTCGAGCCGGGTTTCGTAATCAAGGCTCGCGACTTTCCGCGTACACACGAAGGAGGGAAAGGAAGACGAGAAATGCGAGTCCGCGTTCCGGGAAAAACCACGGTCCCGGGTGTTTTTCCACTCCCCGGGATCCAGTTTCAGCAGATGGGAGTGTCCGCGGAGTGGCCCGACAAGAGGACCCTCGGACGGAGAGGGACTCGCCTGAGTTTTATTCAAATTTCCTCACCGGGGAGAGAAATCCCCGCCTTTTCCGGCGATGTAGCCAAAGCTGATTCAGGGAAACGCGGGAAAATCCAGAGACGTTCATTTCGGGGTTTCTCCCCTAGCCGGGTCCGTCATTCTCTGGTCGGCCTCCTTGTTTTTCACCGGGGAAAACTGACGGCTTCGGCCTCATTTTTCCCCGCGACTAAGCAAAAGCTCTGCCGATAAGATTTTCCTGGAGGGTTAATATCTCTCTCCTCCCCCGCGAGGAGTCCCTCAGGACCCATCGGCGCCCACCGAAATTCAATGACATATGTTAATAATCAGAGGAATTAATGATAAATAAATTGAATTAGGGAAACGCGTAAAAAGCTCCCGTTTCTCTCGGCTGCGCCCCAAAGGTCCTGCCGACAGGATATTTTTCCGAAAGATCGGCGCTTTTCCTCCCCTATCTTCTTTTATTTGGACCCATCGAACCCATTCACATTTAACTAGATGAATTAAGGGTAAATAAATTTAATCGGAGAAGGAAAAAGCTCGTTCCGACCAAGGAATTGGGGACTTCGCCATTCGCGGAAAATCTGCAGGAAATTGGCGAAGATTTCCACCTTGTCACCAAGACGTACGAGGTGTTCCTTTCTTCCCTTTTGCGGAAAAACGGGCTCACCGGAAACGGCATATTTTCGAGCTTGAAAAGCAGGCGACCAATGCCGGCTCTCGTTCATATTTCTCACGGAATCCGCAAGAAGCGTTTCGCGTGACAGTAATGGGTAATACCGGGGAATTAATGGGCAGTCTTGCGGCAAAAAGCCTCATTTCATTACGGGGAATTGCACTTCGGAGCTGAGCGATCGGGCGTCGTTAAACTCGCATTTGTCGCATTCAATTCATCCCTCCGCGTGCGATTCATTCCCGATCCTGAAATCGCGACGCGGCACGGGTGCGGCCTTCTTAATTAACCCGGGAAGAGTCCCGGATTCCCGCTTATTTCACGGGAAGAATTCATACCCTGGGACACACAATTTGCCCCTCTACGTAGCGCGTTTTCCTCGAATTTTTCCGGCCCCGCCGGCTCCGCAATCCCCCGGAATATTTTCCGCTTCCTTTTATCCTACCTTTGCCCATTTTTATTTCCCGACTCTGCTTTCATCGGCTCTAACTCCCGCCGAAAATTTTCCCCGATCCGGAACGAACGTCCCCAAAGGTCGGACGAGGTGCGGCTGATTTTTTGGAATCGTTCAATTTTAACCTCCCACTTTTCCCCGCAACTTCAATTTAAATTCCACCTCTCGTGGATGGAATTTGTAGCGCAAGAAACTCGAGCTGCAAAACCATTCAGAGTGGTTGGTGAGATTTCCCATGAATGGAGTACTCGTGAGCTTTTCAATGGGTATGGGATTTCCCGAGGTATGATTGTATGATTTGCAGGGTTTCTCTTCTTTTTAGGGATTACAGATTTTTTTTTTATTATGCCATGTAATGTAATTCTGTCTTTCGAAATGCCTACCGGACCGAGATAACGTGCAGATGAACGTTCAATTTTCACCGGGTAATCTATTCATTCGGGAACTCCGGCGGTTTAAACAATTTGTTGCTTCGGAGAGGAAATATGCTGGAATAAAATTTTGGCAGAACGAAAAACGGGGAATTAAACGCCAGTGACGGAAAATTTGCGGTAACAATTTCTGTGATACTTCAAGGCGCAGAAAATTAATGCCGTAAGTCAGTGGAGTAATTTCGATGAAAAAGCTCTCCTTAGTCGGATCTCTACAATTAATAGGCGGGTCGGTAAAAAATAAACGCTGACGCGGGGGACAAATCTCGCAGCTACGAGGCGAGTTCTCGGACTTCGAAACATCGGCGAGGGAACTTATTTTCAAACAAATCAATTAACATTAATATTTTACTTCTACTTAGAGGCGGGGGAGTTGCTGGAACTTCGGAAAAGGGCGTCCCGAGAGGAGGAGAGAGAGAGAGATAAAGCTCCAGACGAGCACTTCGCCGTTTCTGCGGAGTAAGCAGATTAAGAGCCAGCGGAGTGCTTTGAAGAAATAAGCTCGAATTGGTATTCCTCGCGAGTTTACGCGGCAATCAATTCCCGTTTCACGAACCGCGACGCCGGGCTCGATTTTTCGAAAGGGCGATCCTCAAATCCGCACCGGAAACGCATCGGCCCGGATTCGCTCATCCCGCCCGGAATCCCCGGGAATTGAAATTCCCACTTGAGGAATTGAAATTCCGACCATCCCTTTGCAAGAATGTTTCCAATATTTTTCGGAGTCCCGCCGTTCGCGTCTCCCACGTCGTTGAATATTCCTGGGATGAAACGGAGAGGGGTTGGACACTCTGCGAGGTTTAATCAATTTCTCGAAATCATGGGGATTGATAACAGATCCCTGGGACTAGATGGATATAAGAATTTTATTAATTTTTTCAAGTCATTCCAGTTTTCCGGAATCTTTTCCCCCGCTCTTCGATAAGGGAGGTGGAGGGATGAAAGAATTCGGATCATCCCTTATCAGTCGAATTTCCGTATGGAGACAAGGACCTTCCGAGGTCCTGATCCTATCCTCCGAGTCGAAGGACCACAGGACGACGCGGCACGTCCTGGGACGACTCGTCGAAGTCGCGGTGACACCCTGTCGGGGAAAAAAAGCCGAAGGGTGCGACCTACCCCGAGAGGTTTGCTCACCCCTCGGAGGATAGACCACCCCTTCGAGGAAGTCGGTCCTGACCTCCTTCGAGAATTGCCTCCACGTCCTTTCCGAATCCCTCGCGTCTCCGACCTCGACTTTTCGCCACTTTTCAATTCCGCGTCCCCTCTTAACCTGGTCTGAAGACTCTTCCTCAAATCTGAGGAAATTTCTACCCCTTTGAGGATAGACCGAAGAAGGGAAGAATTTTTATCCATTCGAGGATAGCCCGAAGAAACGAGACAATTCGAAGGAAATTCTCTTTAATTACCCAGATTAATAAAATCCAAAAGCGCGAGGGGCTAAATAAATTCACTGATCAAATGATGATCGGTAAGCAAGACCGGAAGAAATTCACGAGTGTCTGAATTCAAGCTCCAATTACCTTCTTTTTTTTTTCTGGCAAATATTGACTAGATATGGTATTAAATGTGGAATATTGAATAGGTGAGGATATCGAGAAAAAAATCATATCGGTGCCAATTTGTTTTAGGGGTTCTCGACAAAGACTGAGATTTCGATCCACGTTTATCGAAACCGATTGCGGAAGTGCGGAAACTGCAAAGTCTCGGCGAGGTACCGACGCACGTGGGCGAATAAGGTAACGAGCATCGTTCGCGGGGGGTCCGTCGAAATACCCTTTTGAGGTCCGAAAGCAGCGCGAATAAATAGGGAAAACGCGCCCCAGTTTCGAGCACCTTGGGGCAGTTCCCCCATTTCCCTCCCAGGTGCCTAGAAATGCAGGTGTACACGTACCCCTGGAAGGTAACCACGTCGAAAATGACAAACACCTCCATTTCAATCCCTCGTTACACACGTCCCTCTCCCTCATTCCGGAAAGTAACTCTCCACCCTGGCGAAATGAAATCAACTGAACTGAAGTTAAATTAAATGAAACGTCGCGGGGAATACATTGATTCAAATTGGAGCGTCTCGCCGTAAACACCTGTGCACTCGGGAATAAACGTTGTCAAACGGCGTTAAACGTTAATTCCTTAACAGGTCCCAGCTTCGAGGCTTCCGGTACAAGTCCCACCGGAAGCAGGTCCCTTTAATCCAGAGATTCCCCGGGAAAGCGAATCCAAAGGGAGCGAAACATCCCCCGAGCGAAGAGGGCAAACTTGTTCTCCGTGGTAATTTGCATGTAGACTCGCGACAATTATCCTGGATTTCCATTATAAAACGGGAGTGCGCGCATACGGAGGAACGTCGGCCACCGGGTACACACGGTTATGTGGAACAATCACCGAATCGCAACCTCCTCCCCTCTCGCTCCCTCTCGCGCACCATTACGCCTATTCACCGAGAGCGCACCCCCCCCGACTTGGTACTTAACTCTACATAGTTACTCGCTTAACCCTTGTCTTGCGATAGTGCACTAACCGTGGGCAAAACGTGTACCTAGAGAAGCGCAGGTTCCGCATAAGTCTGGTTCAATAAGAACTGCGGAGTGTTAATGCGAGCGATGCACCTAGGTACACGGTATGTAGGTACCTTATGCAGGTGAACTGCGTTACATGCAGATGCGTCCAAAAAGCGGATCACAAAATTCCCCGGAAAAAAAAATAGCGCTCCAATGAAATTATAAGATCCCCGAAAAAATTTGGAGGTGGAAATTACATATATATGTGTATTACTTGGCTTCATTGATAAATGAAAAGTATTTTTTCTCTTTTTTTTTTTTATAAGGTCTCTGGGTGGAGGTTCGTCGAGAACGTTTCATCAGGGTAGAAGCTGCAAGAAATGTGAAACGAACGCGAAGTAAGGGAGGAAATTAAGACCGCTCCCTTATCACTCTTCACATTGTTAAGGAACGCGGATCGGGAAATTCGTTGGGACTAAAGCTAGAGGTTTGAAAGAAAAAATATATAGACCATTTCAGGCGTTCATTTGCCTTTTTCCTCGGCACACGAAAGGTTCTCTTTCCGAGGTCTCTGGATGAGGTTTATCGGGAACGTTTCATCCGGATTGAAACTGCGGAGAATGGGAAATAAGCATGAAATAAGGAACGGAAGTAAGATTACTCTACCTCTCTTCGCATCCTCGACCTGGTGAGCATCCCTCGCGACTTTCTGGCGGGTATCCCGGCGGTTAAGGGGAGACTAGATAAGAGGGCACTGATTCCGCGGATTCCACGGAGATTCTCAGAGAATCTCTCCCAGTTTATATCCCAAGCCCCGACGCACCGAGCCAGCCCCGAAGCTGCTCTCTGGCTCACCCATAACTTCACCGTGGCCCGAACATCGTCCCTTCGCGCCGCCCCAAAGTCAGATATCGAAAAATCGGGAAAAAATCCGATTATCAACTTTACCCTCCCCAAGCCCCATCCACGCAACTTCACTAGTGTCCTCGTGATCTTCTTCGCGTTGTTTACCCGTTTCCATTAATTTCCATTTATTTCTCCCTTGACCATCATCTCCCAGGATCGTTCTCTTAAATTCCTTGCGACGTTTCCTTGCGAGATTTTCGCGGGGATCCTTCGTAAGGATTGGCTCGCGATCTAGATATGGATCCCGAGGAGGATCTCGATCGGTCGGCCCTGGGGTCGGGCCGAAGCTGCGCGCTTCAGGTTCGGCCGAAGACTGCCGAACAACCCCCGGGAGCGGCGCGTGCGCGTTTCTCGCCGGCCCTGCGCGCCACCCCCTCGTGTCCTCCCCATTTCCCCCTCGTTTCCCCCTTGCCTCCCAACTACCCCCTCGTCTCCCTTGCTACCCCCTCGCCACCCCTCACCTTCCTTTCGCCATCCTCTCCAGGTCCGGCCGAGACACCTCACGCGAGGGGTGCATCTCCTGCCGAGGGTGCATCTCCGATCAACCGTGGATCGGTTGGCTCTTCCTGGCCTTTGCCGGGGCTGTGGGTAACCCGATCGAGGGGTGCTCTTTAAACACCCGGAAGGACCAACTATTTATCCTGGACGCGCCCTACCGGACGAAGGACGACGAAAAGGAGCACAGGATTACGTGGCATCCTTAAACTGTATACCCGATTTACACGGTGTAACCGAATTCCTACACTGAGGATAAAATCATTCAACCGAAGGAATAATTTAATTCGTGGAATAATTATTTAACGAACAAATTGGATCGCAATGTTGCTACGGAATTGTGACGATTTATTTGAGTTTGTTCGTGTCTAATGAATCCATGAATTCCTTTTTTCTTCTCGGTGTATGGATAAAAATTGCACCGGACTTTCCGACATTATCAAGAAGGGATGCTTTAACCCTATGGGTTCCTGATTCTCCGTCCTGATCCACCTCGGATTCTATGGAACTTCTCGGGGGGAGAAAATTTCTAAGTAGGGGGTGGGAAATCTGAAAAACCCCCCCGGTGCGTTCCTCGAGCTTTCATATCTGGGCTTTTATAGATTCCCGATATCTCCTAAAGATTATTCTGATTTTATCCGGGGAACGGTTACGCCCGCGACACTTTCCAGGAATCGTACGGCAACCCCTTTACCTTGACGGGAGTTTACGTTTGCCCCAGATTTCTGCAGGACCCCATGCCCCATAACCCGGCGTTATCGATAAGGCGAACGATCCCATCGGATCCGTCGTCGATCGCGCGTTAAGTCCGAAATGGGCGCAGTGTCCTTGTAGGTGGCGGAAAAAGGACCAGGAACTGCTGGCCGGAATTCAGAGGATATCCTGGGGACATTCTTGAGATATCTCCCTTACTTTCGCATTGCGGGGTCTCATAGAAAGCATATCCCATATGGTACCATGCTCCGGATGTACCGATGAAATTTTCAACCTATCGCGGACCGCCTTATCTCACGTCTTCCGACTTCCCGGGGGATGATATCGACGGGCGACACATATCGTTGAATTCGGAGAACAGCTGCGCGTTTAATTCCCGGCACGGGAAAAGTTTCATCCCTCCTGCTTCATCCCTTGCTTCGTTTCTTGCCGCGTCGCTTTCTTCTCGGGGGAGAACTTTCGGAAAAGTCGGTGGCTTATTAAATATCCCCCCTAAATTCGGAGGAACTTTTCCCCGCGGTATCCAACATAGACGAGTTAATGTAAACACTCGCTGTTAAAAAGCATATTTCAATTTTATAATATTCTCGTTAGAAGTTCCATTCATATATGGTATACTAATTTTGATAAGATATTTCCAACGAATTTATTAAATGTGTCGTAAATCCAGAACGTATGTGTATTTATTTTCCCACGAAATTTCGCAATGCTTCAACGTGACGTCATCGAGTTATAAGTTCATTTAGAAATTTGGAGTAAACGTATCCTAATTTATTTTTAGGACATTTAATGTACGATTCTACTGCAACCTTATGTACTAAAAGTGCATGAATTTTGTGAATATTTTTAACAGTGCAAGACAAGTCATAGTCTTGCAATTATGGTCTTGGTCTGGGTTTGCACCCTTAGCTAGATCAAAAGCAAGATCGATTTCGCCCGTGAGTATAATTCGGATTTTTTTGAATTTTTTTCCGGAATTTCTGCGAAGCCTTGGCGCACTTTTCGGGCCATTAATGACCATTAGGGATCTCGATAAATAGCCGAGGGGTCTCGGCTTCCCTCGTGGAAATCGACGGTGGGAGGAGACCCGCGATAGGGTGAGGATTCCGCGAAAAAAGAAAAATGGAAAAGGGTACTCGCCACCTCTCCCTCTCGCTCGCTCTTTTCCTTTCTATCTCTCTCGTGTCCCCGTAACGGATTGGCGGCAGAACCGCTCGAGTCAGCGTTCTCCGCGGCGGATTAAAAGATTCGGCCTTCCGCTGGTAATAAGAGTCAGCATCTTTTTCCGAGCAATATCTCACGTCATTACACCCCATTGCCCCGCAATTAAGATTCCGAAATTCACGACCACCTCGCCTCAAAGTCGCCGCTTCGAGAGCGCCCAGACAATTTTCGAAATTGTCCCCAATTACCTCCTGGTAAAATGTCAACCAACACTTTCCCTCTTCCTTTTCCCACAAAGATATCCGGTAACTACCGAATCCGTTTAGAGTAACCGGATAAATTTATGAAGGATTAATTTATTAATCGCAAATGTACGAAAAAGAGGTGCTCCAAAATCTTTGAGACTCTCTTTGGAATCGGACTCGATACGTCGTTTCACGAGCAGTCGATGTGGTCATTTTTGACTGAAATGTCGAGCACTATCCGGTGTCAAAAACGAGACCGAGTATCGAGGGTCGATGATCGATCCTCCTGCCCGACCTACCCCAATGCAAGGTCCCTTGCCTCCGTTCCTGATCCCTCTCTGGAATGTAGCAAGTTCTGCCGAAGGAATCTCCTCCATCATCTGATTTTCGAGGTTACTTCCAGTCGTCTGCAACTTCCGCCACCTTTTCCAACCCCCTGCACCCCCTTCGTGAGACCGTCCAAGAAGGGAGCGCAGCTGCTCTACATCCGACAGCACTTGTGACGGCCCACCCTCGATTCTCGAATTCTGGAATAATGAATTCTCCCCTCAGGGTCTTCACGAATTTGAACCCTCTCGGTGCATCAGACATTTTGAAAAATAATCAGACAGGCAATCGTCGTCACTTCTAATTTAAAAACCCACCCTCGAGGGTCTCATCCCTTCCAGAGGGGTCTATATGGTTTCACCCCCTCTCGATGCAACAAACCCCGGAATAAAAAAAGAAATCAGACCGAATGCAGAAATTTCGTAGATTACCAATTTTCAAAATTTGCCCCGAGAGTTTCCCCTGGAATTAATTTTTGAAATCTGGTGCGAGCTGTTTTCCACCGCTTCTGGATTATCGGGAGAGTTTCGGGGGGAGCTTCCACACCCCCGACCACCTTCTTAACCCTCGGGGCTGAAAGTGGAAGGGAGATTTCCCTCTTGGAGGGAAACTGCAGGTGCTTTACATCCTCCTTCCGACGTTTCGACAGCGGCTGCCTCCTTTTCCACCGGCCCCGCTTATGTCACCCTCGCCCCGCCCTTGTCTGCAGTTTGCACTCGATTTCAGATTCCAGAACGGGAATTTTTCCGGGCGTGTCTTCGCGATTTCCTACCCTCTTTCCGCATCCATCGAATCCTCCACCCCGCGGGGCGATTCCTATCGAGCTTCCGAGTTTCAGACATTTCGGAGGCGGATTTTCGAGCGCGGGGGCGATTTGAATACGGACGTCCAGTCGGCCTTGAAAATCCAAAGGGGAGGAATCTCTCCTGCGGGATAACTTATTTAAATCGGGGTTCAGCGTGACTAAATAATCCACGCGTTCGGTCTGGATATCAATTATTAAGCGATGTTCATTATTCACGGGGTGAACCTGCTACTCCGGGCGGCGTTCGCGCGGAAGTCGAGGAATCCCCTCGTGGCCTTTACGTGGACCGAACAAGTGCGGGGATGTTTCCTCGGACAGAGCGAAGACCGGGTAAACTACTGGCCACTTAAAAGTTTCTCGCCTCAGGACTTGTCAAAACTCCGGCGTAATCGTTCGTGCCCCGGCGAAAGCTTGCAAAGAAAATAGAAAGCTGCATCCCCCGCGCGACTTCAACGGGCGACAAGTTGACGCGCCCCGTCGAAAGGAGGACATTTTTAGAAATCTTGACCACGGGATGAGTCATAAAGAACTTCCCACTCATAAACCATTTTTAACCTCTACGAGTCGATCCATAACCCGTCAACACTTAAAATGCTAAAAAGAATTTGAAAACCTGCGGTCTTCGATAGCGCTGATATCAAATTTACAATCGATTCAATACATTATTTAATCTCACTGCCTCTTGTATCAGCTGATCAAAATTGAGTTTGGATTTCAGATTAGGCTTTAAGGGGATGTAAAAATAGTTCCCATGTAATTGGCCGATTTTTGCAAGCTCGAGCGCCGTTCTTGGGGGCAATTGTCTCGCGCGTATGAAATAAATAAGGGGCGCGATAAGACACGAGGGGTACTCCAGAGTGGCGGAGATGAAATGGAATTTCCTAAGGGGTGGGCCGGATAAACGGGGTGCAATTTCAGCCCCTGCGGTGCGTCTTCGGATGGCGTGCCCGACTCGCGGCCGCATACCGCGCCGCGGAATTTCTTCCGCGATTTACATCCGTCGGCGAACCGCTCGCGCGATCCCAAACACGGCGGTATTACTTCGAGCACGTTGCACGGGACGTGCACGGCAAGTGCACGCCGAGTGCACGGGACGTACCTACACGGGATGCAAGTACCCG